ACCAGGTTTAGCCTAAGTTTATTAGCTCGTTGCTCGATTGGTGGGCGATTTCTTTCGGCAGTGAGCGACAGCCTATCATGATCTGCCAAATGTTAAGTACTGGCTAATATGGAACGATGGTGGTCACTCTACCTAGGGTTTGCCTCAACCGCTTTAGGTCTTTGGTCCTCTCTATCGCTGCTTTATACTCTTTTTCTACCTGGACCTGAAGGAGACGTGGGTTTCATGAACGACCGAGTTCAAAAGAACTAACCACTTGGGATTTGATGTCCTTCTCACGTGTGCGAATATCCTCCTCTCTCTCATCGAGTTGTTCTCTGGCCACTCTCTTCTCCGTAGCATGCGTGGCAGCTTCCTGTATTCGCATTTCTATGTCACGTTTTTTATCCCTGTCGACTACAGATGTAATCAGCACAAGAGATGAATATCGTTGCGGGCCGATTCGGAGATGAAAATACCTGGCTGATCGGTGAACCATACCGGAGAGGCGATACTGGAAGTATTGGTCTGTGGTAATCGCCTTCCATATGCTGAACGATTAATTGCATAGTTCGTAGAGCCAATGATGTAACGACCAGTGACCCCAGGCACATTCGGTGAAAACAGTTGTGTAGCAGCTTGTGCATTAGCCTTGCTCACGTCCGTTGCGACACCCTTTGATATGAATGAGTATCATAAAAACCGGTGATTGATTCACTTACTATGCGATGCATGTCAAGCGCTTTTCCTAGGTAAAACTTGACCTCATCAGGTGCTTCTACGAAGTCTAGTACAAAACCCTCCATTCCAGCGGCTTCTAATTGCTGTGGCGTATGATCTGAGGACAGATCTCGGAAAGTACCAGGTCGGAACCAAGATGTAGGCCGAGGATCGAATCGCCGGTCGTCGAGGTACCGGTTAAAGCGCTGGTAATCATCTTCATTATTGAAGATGAACGTCCTCATTTGATTTGGATTGATGCACGCTTCCACTGATGCGGCGTATCGAGTGTTTGGAACGAAGACGGATAAACAGGCCGGTTCAATGAATTGACGGAACTGGTTCTGGTTGTCTCTAAGCCATATGAATGCCTCTACAAAGTTTTGATCTGCGATCGCGCGATGTCTTTGATCCATTGGATTACGCATAATATCTAGTCGACGTGTCTTCGGATCTGCGAGTCGTTTCAGCCTGTCGAAGATGCTTAGTATGCGGTCCAAACACAAATGAAATATTCGCAACTCGTCTTTTGCTCTATTTTCATCGATCTGGGCACGGGCGATCTCCTGCTCAATTTCATCCATTGTCATTCGAAGAGACTCTCTTTCTTGTTGCACACGGCGCTGAGTTCGGGTAAGTTCTTCCTGTGGGCCTATCATTAGAATCGTGTTGAAAATAAAGGTAAAATTTGACCTTTTTTTCCGTAAGAGCATTTTGGGCTTCTTGGCTGACAGCAGTCTTCTCCATCTCCTCAAGTTGCGATTCCCGGCGCTTGATTGTCTTCTCTAGCTCCTTAATTTTATTTTGGGACTCCTCAGCATCCCGCTTGAGAGTCAAAATACTATCTTGGATCTCATGACAGCTATCAGCCTGCATATGCAAAGTCGTGCGAATCAGAGAGAGTATCTTCCCATAGGAATAAAGCATACCAGAGCCTTGTCCTTGGTCTTGAGCTTGTCAACATCCTTTCTAGTATTGTTGACCATAGCAATTGTATCTTTGACGAGTGACTCAGCGGCGGAGAGATCTTTTTCCATTTGCTTCTTGAAATCAATAGCTGGTTTGTGCTCCTCCATAGCCGTTGCGAGCCTAACTCCAGCTTCTTTCCATCTGTGTCTTAACTCTCTCATTTGACTCTTTTTGACTTTGTCTCGAAACCAAGGCACAATAATCTCATATAGAGCTAGCTAGAAGGACATGAGATCTTGGCGTTTCTTCGAAATTATGTGTGAAAGTGATTGCCTTACCTGTTCTTCCAGCTCTTTTCGCTTTTTAAATGCCTTCACGTCCCTTTCGAGAATCTTATTTCTTTCCTCCTCGTGAGTGCAACTTTGTTGATCTGCTGCCAATTCCTATTACATATATCAGCCACAATTGATTCATTCAGCGCCATTGAAGTACCTCTTTGGCATCCTTGAGTTTCTTCCCCAATTCGATGAGTTGGCCGTGCCAATAGTTCAGTTTTTTGTGCCCAGCAACTTTTTGAGTTTCGACCAGAAGCTCCTCTGGTTTTAGCTTTGCGAATTCGTTGACTCTATCTTGAGGAAGAAACGAGCAAAGGTTGCCGACTTGAACGTCAAGGTTTGCAACCTCTTTTTCGACAGCAGATTTCGGCGATTGCTTTCCGTTAAGCAGCCATGTACTCGTATTGCTTTTGCTGGTTATGCTTCGACGAACGATTAAGTTCTTCTTGCCGAGATCTCCTTTGAGTTCTATTTCAATATAGCCTTGGTCATAGCCATGCTTTACAAACGAGGAGAGTTGGTCTGCGCGACCTAGTGTCTAGATAGGAATAACAGAATCAGAATTATAGTGGATCTTGGTAAGACCATGTATGCGTAAATGCCTTACATTGATGGAAAACCCTAGACCAATACAAATAGCACACGCGATAGTGCTCTTTCCAGTTCCATTAGGTCCCAAAATCATATTCATGCGAGGTCCAGGTGAGAATTCGACAAAGTCGTATGTCAAAAAGTTTTTACAGCGGATGCGGACGATGGATCCAGGCAAGTATCTAGAAATTTAGTAAGCTCCCTTGACGCAAGGAGTCGACTGGATAGATATCAAATAAATTGGTTGGTAGAGCATATTGTATCATATTGGATTGATGAGCAAAAAGGGAGGGGAGTGCAGACACTCGGGGATGCATTGCAGTGAAAGGGCGAGAAAGACATGAAGAGTTCGAGACTTACCCATCTTTAGGATCTCGTACAAATATTTTTTCAACTTTTGCAATGTGCTCCTTGTTTTCTTCCTCCGCCCCCTCCTCCTCGTCAGAGCTATCTTGGATAGTCGAGGGTCGAGGCTGGCCATTGATTCCTTTAACCCGTTTGCGACTAGGATGTACAATATTGCTCTCCTCATCGTCACTTTCGGCCTTCTTCACACGCGGGGCGTTTTGCTCTTCGTCTGAGCCTGATGACGCCTCTTCCTCCTTTTTGGGTCTCCTAGAAGCAGACTTGGATCGCGAGTCACGTCTGGCATGTTTCTTTACGCGACTAGAAGAGGATTCATGCTCTTTCTTCACTTTGGGAGCTTCTGACGCGTCTGATGAGTCGTGTGGCATTTCAGGCTTTGTCAACGCCCAAAGGCCCACCTGCTTCCGAACTAGAACATTGGTGCCATTTACCACTGGATGACTTTCACCAGCCTCATAGAAATCGTAGACTCAACCTTGAAAGATTTCAATGATCCACTCAAACCTGTCAAAATATCGGTCTTCGATGACCTACAGAGCGAGGAAACACGTAGATCATTCGCTAAACTCTTAACAAATCAGAACCTTTTCAAATTCAAGGAGCCTGAACTGATATCATTTTATAATGAATGCATAAAAGATCAAGTCAACTCAGTGACCACAATAGATCGACACGCTCGTCCTCGAAGCAAGACGATTCATTCTCTTATAAAAGCAGCAGCGATACTAAAAACGCCAGCGGCTGGAGTGATAGTTATGAATACAAGTTCAGGTCTACGGTTTGAGGGAGATCACACCCATAGTGAGCTGCGAAGATCGACCCCATATCTTCCTTTCCTACCCCTAGTTGGCATCCGTGGTCTCCAACGATATGAAATATTGGACGACCTTGTCTTAAAACTATATGGTGCACCCAATAATACTACATTGGCCTTCAGAGGCACATATGCAGAAGTTGATCGAGCACTCTTGTCGATGTGGGCTTACATTTTCACTACTTGGATGGAACAAGACTCCGGTATGTGACAAAAATTGTCTCAGGGCCCACTGATTTAAATCAATGAAACAGGTCGTAAGGGTCAGTTGGTACAAAGGCGGGCCTCATCGACCACTATCGAGCATAATGGAATGGTCTATTTCATGGTATGCTATAGCCCTTGTTAGAACTCCCGTCAGTCGTTTTATGCTCTCATACAGGCCCCTAAACGACACTTCGAAGGTGTTTTTATTAGCAGACGTGCAAAAACATCGCCATAACTTTGAGTTTCAACACACAAAGAAAGCCTATAGACCCTGGGCACACGACAGTCGTAACATTGCCGAATGCATCAATTTTCCTCTATTATCATCTAGGCAAGTCGAAGTAGACACTATATGACAAGGTTTACTCCATCTACTCTCTATTGACCTTGAGTTCATCGAGCAACGTGGTCAACCTTTCCCACTCCGGTTCATCTTCAAACGCTTGACGGGTTCTTCCCATGAAGGTCCTGACGATTCCTCGCGCCTGGAAGGCCCAGGAACCGCCTTTCTTCCTGACACCATCCACCTCTTCAGCAGCCGCCTTAGGTCCAAAATTCCGTAATACGTCCACGTACTCTTCCACTTCTTCAACAGCAGCTCTCCAGCTCTCCAACTCCACCTCCACCTTGGAATTCATGGCGATTCCATATCGATATGCTGCAGTATACGCGTCTAGGGCGCCTAACCAGTTTTTGCGCCAAGCAAGTAATTGAGCGCGGGCGGTCCATATCCGGGGAGAGCTCGAAACTCGTGGAAGAATGACTTTCGTAAACAGGTCATCTACCCGAGGATATAGACCAAGACCTTCGTTCGGATTCGTCGGCTGAGATTCGCTTTCTGCAGTCCCCTGCGCGTCTGGAGCACGAGTGACAGCATTGACGAGCCGTGACAGGACTTCAGTATCGACGGCAGCTTCTCCGTCTTTCTCAGCTCTCTCTTCAACTACCCGCCCAAGAGCACGACATGCTTCTGAGAGTTCCCCCACGTCAACTGAGACGACCATGTAATTAGACCACATTCTCCAATTCGAGTAGTTGCTCTTCAGTCCTTGTTGTAAAGCAGCCATGTACTCGTATTGCTTTTGCTGGTTATGCTTCGACGAACGATTAAGTTCTTCTTGCCGAGATCTCCTT